TTTGGCCACAAGGCGGGCTTTGTACCTGGTAATCTGTCCATTTTCATCAGTTTTTAACCGGTAAACCCATTTACAATTAACAACATTAGCATTAGGAACAGGGGGCACAAGTGTCCACGTGCCATTCCTATGAAGCGCAGCCAACTCATCAGCCATTGCTTGGCGCCAAACACTCATGCTCACTTATCCTCACATCCGTTTCCTATCAAATATCCCTCGTAAAGTATTCAGATGCACAACCTTTCTTCATGTACCACCACAAAACCGTAGCAAAATTAATCCCTAATCTCTTAAATGTATCTTTTTGGATTATTCTAGTTGTCAAAAAGGATATAAGTGTTACTTGCCTTCCCTAAAAAAAGTATATAACTCTATGGATGTCACTTTCTTTGAAAGCCAACCATTTTTCACCAAGTTGAGATTCAGTGGGAGAAATATTTCTGAGGAATATCATATTTGGTCACAAATTTTACTTCATAGTCACTCTAATCCGCTGGGACCGCTGCAAAACACTCCACACTTTGACAACCCAGGCTACTGAGAACATGTGAGAAGTGTATAAATGAGCCTAATGGGATCCTTGAAACCATACAAGAATATTTAAAGACCTCTTGTAAATATCCTGAAGGACAGAACCTTGTGGTTGATGAATATATACCCCCGCTTCAAGAATGGCATTGATAATATCTAGTTGATGACACACCAATTGTGAATAGGAGATAAAGTGACATATGTGGCCCCCAGTGTGACGATGTCCCTTTAACACTAACCTCGTGCTCTCAAAAGCAAGAAAACAAGCTTACGGTTCTCAATCAAGTGTTGGTCAGAGTATTGATCTACACATGATATTACATGAGAGATTACTCAGCAACGAGCCTGATAATGCTATACTGCGATAACCAATTTGCTATCTGTATAGGCAAGAATCAGGTTTTCTATGCGTGTATAGAGGTAGAGTGTCATCTCGTAAGGAAACTATGTAGTCGGAATCTCTTGCAGTTAACGAACTATTCAGCTGATTCTTAACAAAATGAGTAGGATTTGGCTTACATCGTCACCAAACCCCTTTGGAAGACTCAAATTGACTTCATTTCCATCATAATAGGAATGATTGATCTGTATGTTCCAACTTGAGAAGTGATAAGGTACGTGTATTCTTGATAAGGATATACTTGATTGTCATCTACATAGGTCATCGTCTTATATTAGGAAATTGCATAAATACATGAGATTCTACTTAATTGTATGAAGAACAAAAAATAGTACATTGAATATTTGCACTTCCCTTGCAAATGAAGGACTACATGGAGTGCTGATTACACATCTTATATGAAAGACGGTAAATAAAGCTAGAGACTTGGACCTAGGAACTTGAGAAAGTGGTCTCTGAAACCTACACATGCCAAATTAGGAAACCATCTACAAGATTAAAGAAAATGGTTTGGTGATGATGCAAAATTTAGATAAAACAATATTTATGTAAGAATATTGTTAGTTATTTGGGTAAACAGAAGTTTATTTGCGTTCATATTATTGATTGTATGGATGCAATCAACCTTACATGAGCTGCCTTTAGTTATCGGGCTGTGATGCTTAAGAGTTTCTAGTCACTCTAGATGAGAATCTTACCCATCTCCTAAGGGTCACAATGGTATCAAGCTACAACTATAACATTCCATTCCGAAAATACTCATACCCTGTGATGACCAAAGAAGATTGATGACTTCCAAATAATGATAGTTTGGAGGAAGTTTTCTTTATAATGTTTAAGTGTGAACGGATTGACAAATTTGATCTCGCATTCTCATAGTGGATGTTTAACAATGAAAAAAGAGAAGACAGAAAATGGAAGAAGAACTAAAATGGAGTATAATGTTTACTTTAACTGTCTTTTGTGTTCAATAGGGTGGTTGTTGATCCCTGATCTCTCAATAACACTAATAATTAAATTAAGAATAACCTAATTATGTCGTGTGAATGAATAAAATGACGAACACTCAAGAACAAAATATGAATATTCAAAGAATATACTTGAGTGTCAGAATATTCACTTTATTCCAAAATGATAGTAAAAGCGTTCAAAAGCGTTAACCCATTACAATAGGCCTAACACCTATTTATACTAGAAAGCTAAACAAGAAGATAACTATCTAGAGAGACTATCTAGCAAATCTTCTAGGGAAAGATAAAACTTATCTAGACATGGATAATAAGTAAAACAAGATAAAACTTTGTAGAATTCAGCTGTCGATTCGTCATCTCTAGCTGTCTTCCATGGGGCGTTATTCAACCTTATCTTCAGATCTTCATCGCATGCCTCTGGTTGAGCTGTTGTAGAAAACTCCAAGTGTTGGTAACCAGAGGGACTATGAAGATGCTCGATCCATTGCACCTCTGGTCGATTCATCGCCCTCTGGTTGTATTGAGGACTAAGCTGTTTTGCCTTGAAGTCTTCCATCGGCCTTCTGGTTCTTCATCACTTGTTTCTTCATTACTTTTACAAATGTGAATTATGGGGTCTAACAGTGGTTCTAGTTCAGTAGTTCTTTAAAATTACTGATATTTTTTCGCAACATTTGAGCATAGGTTGATTTGCTACAGTTTTCCTTGATTTGCATAACAATGTGGGGGAAGTGCATAGAGCATTCTGTTTTCTTTCATGATGTTTTCTCCATGGTGATGAATCATAATTTATCTTGCAGAGGTAGTTTGTATAGATTAATCCACCGGCCCAACAATCAACTGGATATTCGACGGCGTTTGAGGATAGCCCTTGATGCTGTATGCTATTTTCTACAACCTACTGTTCTTGGTTCGACTTTGATGCTTTTTCTTGAAAGGTTTAGTCTAGCAATAATTTGTGTATCTTCTGAAACTAAACTTTCAGGCTCGTGGTATGAATTATCTTCACAACTGCACTCCAATTATTGTTCACCGTGATTTAAAGTCCCCGAATCTCCTTGTTGATAAAAATTGGGTTGTGAAGGTAGCATGCCAATCTTTTATGGATTTTGAATCACAATATACGGCATAGTATCCAAATATCATCCATTGTAACTGAGATGTTAATCTGTCATTAGGTTTGTGATTTTGGGTTGTCAAGGATGAAGCACAGCACGTTCCTTTCATCAAGGTCTACTGCGGGGACGGTATATGTTTTTGCCAAATCATACCATGTTTTTACTAACCGTTTTTGCAACAGCCTCTCTGTCTCTTGAGAAAGACATAGAGGTAAGGTCTGCTTACATCCTACCCCAAGATCCAGGCCCTACCTTCGAATAAGATATACTGGGTTTGTTTGGTTTCTAGTATAAACATAAAAATGTATTCATGCTTGAATTTAGTTTTTGTTTGTCCTATCATATCATGATTATTTGCAGATGTTAATTATTGTTTCGACTGTTGTTGCTCGTTCAGTATAGTTAATTTATGTTGCTTTCATGACTTCGTTTTTGTAAGCTTGAGGGCCTTAACTGTAATTTCCGCTGTGAACTTTGTTCTATGCTGAAGGTCTGGGCATGAATACTTATGGCCAGTAGTGACACCCAACCTAAAATAGAAGTTGCTAAGGCCGATAATTCTTGTAGGAACAACTTTCTCTAATCATTTCAGTTAACAATGCAGAGGTTGATGCTCCAAGGTTTATATTAGTAATCTCTGATTGTCCAAGGAACATAGGACGGATAGTCATGAGCAGATGAATGCAAAAAGATCCATTAAAATGTTGTTTGTTCCTGTATGAATTAAGCTAAATTTGCTGTTTGTTTGTTGTGCTAACGACATAAATGATTATTTTACCCCTCAGTCTAGATTAAGCACCAACTAAAATCATTGTTTGACAAATGTGTTGAACGCAAATTCTAAATGATAAAAAAATATATCAATGTAAGCCTTCTTTTAAATAAAGAAACTTGATCTAACATAATGATACAAATTCAATGATATTATCCTTTTCTCCGGATTCAAATTAAATGAGTTTTTCAGGCTTGTACCATAGTTTGTTGATGATTATTCAAATTAAATGATATTAAGCCTTCTTTTTACCATTGTTGATGATTATTCAATACCATAGTTTGTATTGACAATGCAATGTGCTATACCTGTTTGTTTTTCAGGCAGAGTGGATGGCTCCAGAGGTCCTAAGAAATGAACCTTCAGATGAGAAGTTTGTCTCTTTTACTCTCTTCTGTAAATAAATTCGTTTCACGTAAGAATTAGTGTTTCAGGGCATAAAGCTTAGGGTAAAATGCATCAAAATGTAACCAAGTTTGCCTTACAACCTATCAAGTATATCAAAGAACTTTTTCTTATTCAATATAACGAAGTTTCAAAATTTTCTATTTCATACTCATTTTGACGAATAACCGGCCGATCTTGTAACATTTTATGACGTGAACATAAAGTTGTCAGTCAATATATTTATCACCGGTAACCTTTTATCCACCATCATATTTTTTTAATCAGTATGACTTGCAACTTGGCATCAAATGAATGTTACAAGGTCGGTTGGTTACCGGTCAAAATGGGTACAAAATAGAAATTTTGGAACTTTGTTACATTGATTTAGAAGAAAAAATCAATTACCCTGAATAGGAACTAAAGCAAACTTTGTTGTATTTTGATGCATTGAGCCCTAAAGTTTATTCATTTTTATTGATTTTCATGGGTGAACGGTGCAATGCAGGTGTGATGTTTTCAGCTTTGGCGTCATTTTATGGGAGCTTTGTACATTGCAACAACCATGGGGTGGAATGAACCCCATGCAAGTTGTTGGTGCTGTTGGTTTTCAGCATCGTCGTCTTGAAATTCCTGACGACGTGGACCCCGCCATTGCCGATGTTATTAGAAGATGTTGGCAAACGTGAGTAGTCTATTCCTTAATCGTTTCTATTCTATATCATAAATTTTGTAGGTAAAATTATTGAATTTTAATGCAATAGCTTACTCTGGAATAGAGAATTAAAAAGTTGGAGGGCTAGCTTACCAAATAACTAAAAATAAAATAAATTATATCCTTATATTTAAATGTAAAATATTTAACTTATAATACAATTTTGAATCAAACAAATTATACCAAAAAAATGAGATTTTTGCAATCTGTAATTTGACACCATATCATGATTTTTTTTCCCGGGTTTGCAAATTAGCAGTCTATTTTGTTTAAACATAAATTTTATGGATTTTTTTAATGAGGAGTTGCTTTAATTTTTCATTCTCGGTTTGCAGTAAAATTTTCGTCTCACTGCATCACACGGTTACACATCTACTACTTAAAAATGCATCTTTTCCGACAGATGGAGTATTTTATTTTCGTTAATTTCAAATTGGTATCCGTGATATATAAAAAGGGGATGTAAACTACAATCATTGTACACTTTGTCAGCAGTTACCGGTATAGTATTTTAAGACATGTGCTTCGTTTGGTTCCTACACTTTTTCTGCTTCAACAGCCGCTCTACACTTGTGGGTTAGAGATCAGGTTTGCGTACATAATACACCCAAAGCCACCTTTGGGTGTGATAGTATAGGGTTTGTTTGGTTTGGTTTATATGCGTTTTGGTGTTTATTACACAAATGTTGTGCAGTGACAAGCTAATAAGTTTTTTATCATGCAATTCAGAGCTGTAACGAAGTGTTTAAACATAATCCTTCCTATCTTCTACAGGGATCCGAGATTACGGCCCTCGTTTTCTGACATCATGTCCACTTTGAAGCCTCTTCAAAAGCCAATTACTAGTTCAAAAACCGGACGGGGCTAAACCAAGTGGATTGGCTTAAACAGCTGCGTACATTTATTCCTCTGGCATCAGTCGATGGTAGAGATTGGTTTCAAGACAGCCATCCGAATTTGAAGAAATAGTGATTCGTTTTTTTTCTGTTGTATTTTTATCTACTTTCAGCTTGCTCATGTGACCGCCCTTTGTAAATTCATATAACCGATTGTAAAAAACATTATTTCTAGCTGATATATATGACTTAATGATTTGAGCAGCCTTGTACCCTATGCATGCATGGTTGTACATTGTACAGGTCTTATTTGATACATGAGCTTTAATAGCCCTAAAAATCTTATCAGGATTGTAAGATAAGGTAGGGACCATTTGTTTTACATATTGCACCAGAACACCAAGGATAACAACTCCAGATTGCTGTAAGAAAGATGGCAACTTTCTTTCGTTCTCCGCCTGTTGTCTCTCATCCTGTAGTTAGAACTCAGCATTTATCTTCATCATCACAACCTCCGCCACCACTTCCGCCTTCTCAGCCACCGTTGCAACAGCCGCCCCTTATTAAGACTTCACAAGAGCTGCAGCCGCCATTGCCGGTGGCTTCAGCACAAGGTGGTAAGGCCAGGAGTACAAGTGCTGATTCGACTGATTGGATAGCTTCGAGCTTGACAAGAAGGTTTGGTCTTGGTGCTGGGCTCGCTTGGGCAGGTTTTCTAGCATTCGGTGTTGTTTCTGAACAAATCAAGACCCGTTTGGAAGTCAATCAGCAAGAAGCAAATACAAGGTTTGTGTTAGAACAAACCAGTGATCATGAATGCAGTCCTTATCTTTCTGGAAAATTTGACGGTATTTTTTTTTGAAAATTTTCCAATCATCGTCATTCTTTTGTTGCGAAAACGCAAGAACAAAATCCCATCATTATCCAACATTGAATATAATGGTTTGAAAAGTTAATCCATTTTTTTGTTTTGTTTAAACATGCTCTGGTGTTGAAACATTTGTTCAATTGCTACAGAGATGTAGAGATGGAAGAGGAGGTGGTGTTACCTAATGGCATAAGGTACAATCATCCTATACAACATGTAGCATTATTAGGTAAAAAATTGTCTATGGATATACCCTTATATTGGTGTTATTTAGAAGGATAACCTTATTGTGTTAGAAAGATGTATTCTGTTGTTGGACAAATGCATTATTAAATCTGTCAGAAAGTCATGCATTTATACCAAGTTCTCAAGACTCTGAAGAAATAAGTTGGATGATGCAGGTACTATGAGATGAGAGTGGGTGGTGGTGCTACACCAAGGAAAGGGGATTTGGTGGTGATAGATATCAAAGGAAATGTGGAAGATGGTGTATTTGTGGACACTTTTGGTAAGGACAAGAAACCCTTGGCTTTGGTGGTTGGGTCAAGGCCTTATAGCAAGGGAATGTGTGAAGGGATTGAGATGGTTCTAAAATCCATGAAGAATGGTGGAAAACGAAGAGTCATAGTTCCTCCTGCTCTCGGCTTTGGAGACGAGGGTGTGGATTTTGGTACTGGCATTAAGATTCCTCCTTCTGCGACGCTTGAGTATATTCTCGAGGTCGAAAAGGTTTCAATTGCACCATCTTGATTTTATGCATGGAGCCATTGTTTGTATTTGGGTTTATTTGGTGTCGTGGTATGACACTGCTCGATCTCGAAACTCCAAAAGAAGCATGTACTTTCCAGCATTCTTCTTGATCCGAAGCTTCAAAAAATATATAATACAAAAAGAACATTTTAAATGAATTGAAAACTAGTGTTCAGCACCATGTGATTTTCTTCATTAAGAAATAAGTTAATTCAATAACCCACATATTAGATATTAAACTTATAATAATAGATATAACATTAGGAATTTTTTTCAAGTGGTGACACCATTTGACTATAAGAAACAAATATATGGATATTTTTCACAACATCCACATTGGTCTAGCTAATGGTTAGTTAATTGCCTTTCATATGTAAGGTCTTATGTTCAAGTCTTTTATTGCAATTTTTTAAAAAACATAATAGATCTGAAATTAATAGGTCTACAATTTTTTTTTTCATATGTGAGTCTTATGTTCAAGCCTTGCAAACCAACTTTACCAAAGAAAACTTGTGTTCTAATTATAATTTCAAAACATATACAATGACATACAAAAATTGATATGATGACACTTTTTACGATCCTAATTTTTTTTAGAACGAAACGGTGGCCATACCATCATATGCACTACATTGGGTATGTCCTTGCATTGGACCTCAACAGAAATGTTGATAAAATTATATTTGTTAGATTGTTGTCCTTAGCTTTTTGTGACCACCTCCGTCTTGCATCTTTCATTCTCTCATCCGATGTAGATGAAAGCAATAAATTGAGGAAAAAAGTGGTGGCATTCTTTTTTCTATTCACCTATTTTTTTCTTCTTTCATCTACTTGTTATAGTTCAAGATTTATGAACATTTAAATGACATTGTGCCACATCATTTCCTCATGGGTACTACTTATAGCCATAGGTTTCACTTCAGAAGTGGTTAATATTTGAGAAGTAGAAAAGTGATCATAGTCTTTCATCTGGTCAAGATTTATAGCTTTGATTGTGAAACACTGTATAGTCCTCGCATGGTATGCGAAAGATAGAGGGGTAGTTTCGTAGATTCTACAAATAAGCAACAAAACAAGTGCATATGTGAATATGAACTATTTAGTTGATTCACATATGAACCTGTGGGATTCACATATGATCCGTATGATTCACATATGAACTAATTAACTGATTCAGATAAAAACTATGGGTTCACATATGCACTTATGGGTTCACATATACACTTGTTTGCCGCCTAACTGTAATATTTACGAAACTATCTCTATATTTTTTGTTTGACTAGTCAAAACCACAATTCTTGACCAATCTTGATCGTATGAAGGATTGGAATCATTTTTTTACTTCTCAAATGAACCTCTCCCTACTTATGTATATATATATATATATATATATATACACACACACATATATATATATACATGTGTGAATGTGTGTGTATATACATAGAGAGAGACTCCTTCAAATACAAACCTCTAATGTTACAACCTTTACAAACTATTAATGACCGTAGATGCATATGATCAAGGGTTGGCATTAAAACAGTGGCAATATTGAGATTTTATATACCAATAAGGGCACGATGGGTACATAGAAATAGGGCAAAGGGCTTATATGAAATTATGCATATGAAATTCAAGAAAGGAAAGTATGCTCGTACGGAATTTGTATGGACTACAGAAGGATTAACAAAACCATTCAGAAAGACCATTTTTCATTACCCTTTATTGACCATATGCTAGACAAATTAGCATGGAAAGAGTTTTATTGTTTCTTAGATGGTTACTCCGGTTACAATCAAATTTCAATTGCATTGGATGACCGAGAAAATACCACTTTCACTTGTCCCTATGGAACTTTTGTCTTTAGAAGAATGTATTTTGGTTTATGTAATGCTCCTTCCACTTTCCAAAGGTATATGATGTTCATTCACTACAACAAAATCGGGTTTATAGGACACTCCCAATTTTTAAGCGTCCTAATAGACCTCTTTATAGGACCAAAAAAAATAAAGTGTCCTATCTAAAGGCGTTGTAATAAGTTTATATGACGTTTTTTGACGTCGTAATAAGTTTTTTAAGACACTGTTAATATAAAGCGTCTCATTAACAATTTTATATGACACTATTTGGAAAACTGTCATATAAAAACAAGTGTCCTATAAAAAATGAGTTTATAGGACACTTTCTCAAAAGTATCCTATAAAGTTGCTAATGTGACACTTTGTATTAAAAATGTCATAAAAAACTTGTTAAGACGCTCAAATGCGTCATATAAACTTATTACAACACCTTTAGATATGACGTTTTATATTTTGCTCCTATAAATTAAGTTCTATAAAGCGGTCTATTGGGACGCTTAGAGATTGGGGGTGTCATATAAACTCAATATTGTTGTAGTGATTTTTTCTGATATGTTGGAACACTCCATGGAAATCTTCATAGATGATTTTTCTATATATTGGACATCATATAACCTATGATTTTTATGTTCATAAAACTTTAAAAAAATCTTGAAAGATATGAAGAACCAGATGTGGTTTTAAACTGGGAAAAATGTCACTTTATGGTTAAAGAGGGCATTGTGTTAGGACATCTCATATCCAAAAAAGGCATTGAAGTTGATAAAGCAAAGTTGGAGGTGATTAAAAAATTACATGAACCAACAACCGTTAAAGGAATTATAAGTTTCTTAGGACATGCAGATTTTTACAGGAAGTTCATTAAAGATTTTTCAAAAATTTCAAAACCTATTTGTTTGTTATTACAACATGACTATATATTCAATTTTGATGAAGATTGTAAAAAGACTTTTAAGATCTTAAAAGAAGCATCGGTCACTGCCCCTGTAGTAGTTGTAGGGTTTCATCGGGATCTCAAACACGTAGCGAAAAAGTAAAGCAATAACCGGGAAACCCCAAGCCCGGATCCGTTACATATAAAAGTAGAGACATAAAACCAAACCATGAGGGGGAGGGGGGGTTTAGAATACTACCTCAATGAATTGGTGGTTGAAGGCTTGGAGTGTGAGAAATAAATGTAGATCTCCTCTGGCGGTATCCACACGTGAGCACGATTCCGATCCCGAACGGTTGCTTGGCCCGAGTGAACCAAGAACACTACTAGCAATCGATTCCTAGTGTGTGTGTATGTGTGTTTTGTGGCATCAAGAGAGAGAGGAGAGAGAGGAGAGAAAAATTTTGTGGCTTAAACCCTAAACCCTAATTACCTTAAGATTAAAAAGAGTCTCCCTTTTTCTCTAAACGGGTCGGGCCCTTAAAGCCTATGGGCTAAACAATTAATTATTAGCTTTATAATTATTGCATGGGCTTAAAGTAATTAAATCTTGGGCCTTTTATCTTAATTAATTATTAACATAATAATTAATAACACATATAATTACCATAATTATATTTTACATGCAATTATTATTACTCTATTAGAATAATAATATTAAACTTTACAACATGTAACTGATTTGGTTCACAACTAACATGGTTAATTCGAGACCTGCATACTCTTTGCGTGCGACCCTCACAGGTTCATTTAACGTCAGCAATGTTTTCATATGACATGGATACAAAGGAAACTACAGTAGTAACACCTGATTGGTCTCAACCTTTTTGAAATAATGTGTGATGTTAGTGACTAGGCAGTAGGAGTTTTATCAGGCCAAAAGAGAGAGTATTTTCCACCCAATTTATTATGCAAGCAGAACTCTCAATGATGCTTAAATCAATTGCATCACTACTGAAAAGGAATTATTAGCTGTGGTTTTTGCTTTTGAAAAATTCAGATCGTATTTGATGGGCACAAAGGTAATCGTGCATACTGGTCATCTGCCATCAAGTACCTCATTTCTAAAAAGGATTCAAAACCTAGGTTGATAAGGTGGATCTTGTTACTTCAAGAGTTTGATTTGGAAATCTTTGACAAGAAAGGTGTGGATAATCAATTAGCTGAAGGTTGGAAAAACAAGACAAACTTGTACAGGGTGGTGACATCTGTGAAGTATTTCCTGATGAAAGGATCTTCGTCCTAAATACCATAGTACCATGGTTTGCTGATCTTGTTAGTTATTTAGCTTGTGGGATTATTTTTGAGGAGCTAAATAAACACCAAAGAAGAAAGTCCATCTTTGATTCAAAGAAATATTTGTGGGATGACCCTTTCTTATTTAAAATTTATACAAATTAAGTGATTAGAAGATGCATTCCATTAGAGGAAGTGATCTCAGTTCTTAAGCACTGCCATTCAGGACCATGTGAAGGACATTTTAGAGGAAGTAGAACAGTTATAAAAGTTCTACAATCAGGTTTATTCTGGCCTACTTTGCACAATGATGCCAACAACTTTGTAAAAAGTTGCAATGAGTGTTAGAATGGAAGCATTTCTCAAAGAAATGAAATGTCTTTAAGCGAAATTCTAAAAGTAGAACTGTTTAATGTTTGGGGTATAGATTTTATGGGTCCATTTCCTCTCTCCAATAGTTGTTCATACATACCAGTTGCTATAGACTATGTATCTAAATGGGTGAAAGTTATAGCTTGCCATGCTAATGATGCCAAGACTGTCATCAAGTTCCTGTACAAGCACATTTTTACAAGATTTGATACACCACGTGCCTTGATTAGTGATGGGGGTATACATTTCATAAATAATTTGTTGGAAGAAACTCTGGAAAAATATGATATAAAGCATAGGGTGGCCACAGCCTACCCATCCTCAAACCAATGGATAAGTTGAGTTGTCAAATAGGGAGATCAAGGGAATTTTAGCAAAAGTAGTCAAACCACACAGAAAAGACTAGACATCCAAACTGGATGATGCCCTATGGGACTGCTTTCAAAACCCCTATCAGAATGTCTCCCTATATGATGGTTTTTGAAAAAGCTTGTCATTTTCCACTAGAATTAGAACACAAAGCCTACTGGGTCATCAAAGAACTGAACATGAGCTTAGATGATGTAGGAAAGAAAAGATATTTATTGTTATGTGAATTGGAAGAACATAGGAACTATTTCTATGAATGCCAAGCTTTACAAGAAAACACCAAAAAATGACATGACAAGAAAATTCTTCCAAAAGAATTCACAGAAGGTCAATAAGTACTTCTGTTCAATTCTGGACTCAAGTTGTTCCCTGGAAAGCTGAACTCAAG